ATATATATATATATATATATATATACTCACATAAAATTCACGTAGAAGAAAACAAGAAATATTGACGTATAGTAAAAGGTTTCTTTCAAAAAAAGCAATATTCCTGTTTTACTTGTTGATCTGTTTGAGAGGTAGATGTGAACTGAAAATTGTAAATTAATACAGGATAGTTAGACATCACTTCCTTTCATTGGAATTATCTCTATATTTATCACCCCAGGTTAAGCCTTCTGTTGGTTCCCATGACAATTTAACAGGTTATCACGTTTGAATAAGCACCACCTTGATAGTTCACATAACATTTTATGGAACGCCTGTCTCTATGCAACATATAAACAGCCGTTTGAACTGTTTATTTTTTGTAGAAAACCAAGATGAATAGAATTCGATTGCTTTTTGCTTTTCTAAGTACATTTTTTGCATTAGAACTGTTTTCGTTTGTAGATGGCCGAGTTCAGCATAGCTTAATTTATGAAAATGAAGAAATTGCAAGAGTTTACATGAAAGATTTAGATAAAAGAATGTCCCAAGCTACGGAAAAGATGGTAAATGCCAGATGGAAGTACAACACCAATATTACAGACTATAACCTTGAAGAAATGGTAAGCGTCACAAATAACTGGAATTAATTTTTTTATTTAATTATGATATTTCAATGAAAAATAAATCTTTTTAGCAGCTATACAAAGTTGTCTCAAACTAGTGAACTGATGTAGCTGTTTTTACTTGATAACATAATTGTAGCCTTTTATATTTGTCAAGAAGGAGCAAGATATTTAGGGGATTTCAAATATATATGTATTTGTCTAGATTGTGTATTTTATGTTTTACCTTAACATGATATTTTCTAGGGCAAAAAAAAAGAAGAAAAAAACAACAAAATTGCTTAACAACAACAACAAAAAAAGCTATAGCAAAAAAAGTTAAACGGCTGTTTAAAATCTTACATGTGCTCTCTACATAACATTACAAAACGAATAAGTGTGATTACTGAAACATGAATTAATCATCTATTGACTCGAAAGTTTCTCCTCAACTCAATCAGGACTTAACAACATACTAGTAGATTTGTCTGTGGGTTTTTTATGTATACGTGTATGTTGTATGTGTAGAAAACTGTCCATACAATAAGAGGATAAAAACAAGTAAACAGAAACAAACACAGAGATAGCGTTAAAGCAGCAAAATTTCCAATAAACAAAAACTGCTTCGTAATTAATCTAAAGTATCGTTTTCAAACTGAATCGAATTTTATCATGAAAGTAACAGTAGTATTGTTTAAAATAAGAAGTTCACGTATTTTTCAAAAGCAACACTGATGACATAATGGCATTTTTAAACTTCCAGGGCAAGATTTTATTATCCTATAACCCTATGCAAAGCCCGAGAATTAAGGAAGTCAGGCATTTATCAACAGAACACACTAATAATTAGAATAAAACGTCTTAAATCATCAAAAGTTTGAGCTTTAAACAAATCAAAAATCCATCTTCTCAAGTAAATGCCCCCCGTCCCCCAGTAGCTCAGCAGTAAGTCTGAATATTTAAAACACTAAAACTCGGGCTTCGAGCACAGATAACTAAACAACGTACAAAAATCTTTTATATAACTTGTGATATTTGTGGACACCTTTATTTTGGAGAATACTGCTTGATGGGCTTACACATGAACAGCATTTCAGTCACGAATCACGACAAACTTATAACTCGACACTTTAACAGAACCGATCATAACTCATAACAATTTGAAAATTAGTTCCTTTGAGACATGCGCCTAAGAACATAGCCAATAAGAAAATAATTGAAAATATATATGATTTTCTTTAAATCCTAACGGTATGATAGAACGTTTCGTAAAAATCCCATAGTTTATTACACAGATAAGTCTCCTTCTCTTTTTAATAGATTTAAGGTATTCGGTTTCTGTATTTCTTTCATTAAAATATTTTACCAATTTTTAAAACTCTAAAACTGATTTTTGAAAAAAGTTTTCCGTTTCAAGTGTACATGTTAAGGACTATAAAAATATTGGCCTTACTACGAACAGAAGCTCTAAATGGCTACATTTTGTCATTTGAAGTTGACAGAATTTATTTTTTAACGATAGGTAATCAGGTATGAACTTGGTATATGTATATAAATATACTATTTTTATTATTAATATTTTCTAACTTTATGCCCTTGGTCACAGAAATATGTCTTTAAGTCAAGAACATTTATGTTTATCCTATCAATTAGTCCAGTTGTGGTGTTATGGGTCGAAACCGATTTCCCTATAAGTATCATTTTGGTTGTGTTCTACCAAAACAGCAGATTCAGACAAGAAATAAGGGAAGCGAATTGTGTAGATAACTTAAAATGAAGTATTTTAAGTGTGAGTAACGAAGAAACTGGACAAAATTTATAAAAAATAAAACACAATATTTATTAATCTATATATACATAAAAGAGGAAGTTTGTTTATTTGTTAATTTGTTCGCTATAGGAAACCAAACGGTTTTAAACAAAATAAATATACAAAATAAAACCCTCTAGGTTAAAAAAATACACAATATCCAAAATAAATATGAATTAAAAGTTTAACCATCTCGGCTAACTTGTACGCATACGCACTCGCGGAAATATGGTTTGCCTGCTACTTGTGTGTACATACTAAAAAACAAAACAAACTTTTGTATCCTGGCTCTTTCACACATGCTCGCATGTATGAAATCTGAAAATTGTGTTATAAAGATGCTTAGGCCTGGCAGGGCCAAGTGGTTAGGGCGTTCGACTCGCAATCTGCGGGTCGCGGGTTCGAATCCTTGTCCCACCAAACATGCTCGCCCTTTCAGCCGTGTGAGCGTTATAATGTAACGGTCAATCCCAGTATTCGTTTGTAAAAGAGTAGCCCAAGAGTTGGCAGTGGGTGGTGATGACTAGTTGCCTTTCCTCTAGTCTTACACTGCTAAATTAGGGATGGCTAGCACAGATAGCCCTCGTGTAGCTTTACGGGAAATTCAAAACGAACAAACAAATAAAGATGATTATTACTAAAATTATAATATAATAATATAATCATTAGTTTACTTAGTTGTTAAGAAAAGCGGTAAATAGACGGATGAAACAATGTTTATATATATATATATATATTACACAACAGCTGAGTTAAGAGTGAAAATTTAGAACAATTTTAGTTCTAAAGAGCTTTGTGAGTCGTTAAGGGTCGGGCGGTCTTTAGCTATGAGTAGACTTTCTTTAATGTAGAGGTCAAGGTCTGAAGATCCTGTAGTGATGATAGAGAAATCGTTAAATGAAACATTGTGACCTGTGATTTCAGAATGTGAACGAATGGATGAGTGGTTAGGTTTAAGTAGTGGATGGGTTGATTCTGTTAAATACTCCTAAATGTTTCTAAGTGGCGTTTCGTTTTGCCAATGTACGTGACCTTACATACACAACACGTATATTTATACACGCGCCATGAACGTAGAAGTTTAAGTACTTGATCTTTCGATGACGAGGAACCCACTTTGAGACTAATAATGGCTGGAGACGGCTTAAATGGGTAATGAAGAAAAACTTTAATATAAGTTTAACATAACAGCAAATGTACAACGTTTCGACAAGGTTTTGTCATGATGTACCTGATGATGACAAAACCTTGTCGAAACATTGTACATTTGCTGTTATGGTAAACTTATATTAAAGTTTTTCTTCATTACCCATTCAAGCCGTCTCCAGCCATTACTTGATCTTTGTACTGAAATAAGTGTTTAATGCGGAGGCTAGGTCTGTATATTATTGTAAGGTGAATTTCAGGGTATAACTTTATTTATTAGGGAAGAGAGTTGTTTTTAATTGGTAGGGATTGCGAACGCATAAAAGGAAGGGAGATAATGAGGGTAAATTTGGGGACGGTGTGTACATTGGCTGGTGGTTGGAATTTGTTGTTTAGGAAATGCGTGTAATCTTCGTTAGAAAATCAATCGTATAGCCATTATTTAACATGTGTTTATGTAGAAGGGTAATTTTCTTCGTGTAAAATAAAATAATCAGAAGAAAGATTAAAAATTCTGTTCAACAATGATATAACCAGATTACGTTTGAAGAAGTTGGGGATAAAACTATTGAAATTCGTGTTAAGATCAGTAAACGTTCTTTTATGATAAACAGAGGTAGAAAAGTGTTTACCTTCTTTGGTAATCTTGACGTCTAGGAAAGGTTTGTCCAGGCGTATATCATTTTTCCTAATATTACTGATGTATCCAAATTATGTGTTTAGGATAATTAATGAACAAGTCATATCTTGTAGAACCGATATACTTAGCACCTAATAACCATTACCTTTTAACGTTGTCAACTTTTGACAATTTTTAGTAAATACTTGCAGAGATGAAGGTGAGGATTACCCCACTGATTATCTGAGGTAATGTGCGAGATCCCAAATAAGTTATAAAAACAACTACATTATCAAGTAATTATTAAGTAGCTAACGTGAATTGGTAAAATATCAAATACGTGATTTTTAAAGTGACCCGTCACTAGAATATATTAGAGCAACTATCCTAGTGAAAACAGTGCAACCACACAGATGAAAAATCTTTCAACTGAAGTTGGAGTTATTTGCGGAGAAGTTGCTAGGTTCTCAAAATATTCGGAGCTCGGGTCCATAAGTTCGGGAATTATCGGCGTTTCAGTATGTTATCGATCGTGGTTTTCTATTCTGATCAGAAGTTGTCCAGTACGGTAGAGATAACAGAATTGACTGGAGGAAGAGATCATTTGCACCTGACCCTCCCAGGTCTATAAGACCTAAACACTGATGATGAGAAAATGCAAAACAAAAAATATTGTTACGTCTCCGTTTGTTAATTGATTTTTCCGTAACTTCGTTCCAACGAAACTTTAACGACACAAGTCTTTACTTAATAAAACTGGTTTATTCTTTCCGAATATAACTCTGCGATACACTTATTCTGAATACTCGCGCTAAAACAACACTGTAACGAACGAACGTTAACTTCAACAATACCCTGTGACTGCAGTTCAATTACTCACTATCTACCCACACATTACATTCCCCTCTTTTATATACGAGTCTACCCTCCATCTAGTAATTACTAGAGCATTCGCCAAAATACATGATAGTTCTAGAAACGTTGCGTCACAGCAGTCACGTGACTCGCTGACGCAACACTGCCCCCTCCTTAATATTGTTCGTCCCGAACAATAACTACATACAATAAACCAATAACAATTAACAATAACTTAATTAACTGTACAGAATTACAAACACAAAATTACAATTCAACAAAGTCTCTTAATTTTACGGGACGTATCTTCTTCCGTACTGGTCTCCGTCTCGTTGGCTTCTGCTTCATGTGGGATTCATCTGCTTCATCAGTAAATGTCCTATCATCAGTAACAGTCACATCAGTGTTAGTAACATCACCAAGAGCTTCACTGTTTCCCTTCTCCAAACTGAGTAGAGTTTCTTCTCCGACAATGACTTCTTCAGGTGGCACATCTTCAGCAGCGTCATTTGTTCCTTTTTTCACTTCGTCCGAACTGAAATGTCCTGGACCGTGATAACGCCAA